TACAAAGCATGTGCATCACATACACGGGCTTCTTCTGGGCTTCTTTGCCCATGTCTGCCCACAGTCAGGTGGAGGTGGGACATGTGTCAAGCATTTGCACCCACCGGGCAAGTCTTTAACAAACCCTTCCTTCTGCCATGATTTTAATTTCTTTTACACTTCACGTGAAAAATGTATATGGCAATTATTAGTTTTTTGGAGAAGAGCCTCATTTGGAAATTCTAATGTTAACTACTACTTTGTTATCTATACTTACACCCCCATATTTGGACAGGGTAGGGACTCCATTATAAACCAGCATTTTAGGAGATCATTATCACCCTCCTCACCATGTGCCAGGATCAAACTAGTTCATTAATTTTTTTTTAAATGAATATAGCCTTCCATACTTTTGTAAGGAGAGACTAGGAAGCCCAGACTCAACATCACCACTACGACCACAGCCACCATCACTGTGAGTAAAGCAGCAGAATTTTCGGAAGAGGGCATAAGCTTCAGGGTCAGATTTTCATGCGGAGCCTGGTTCTGAGTTGTGAGACGTGACTTTGGGCAAATCATATGATGCATCAATCCTTATCGTCTTTATTTATAAAATACTATCTTCTGGGAACTGACAGAGGGCAATGGAAGTTAGACCTGTACAGCCGCCTACATGAGGTGTTTACGGGAAATTCTTAAGATGGTGTCACATAAGTCTATGGAGACCGCCTGCATTGTGGGAAGAGAGTGGAGAACAAAAGGCAGCCTTTGGCAGCACTTGGGGTGAGAGTGCTCATTTCTAAAGTTGGAAGCTAGAAGTTCTCAGGGGCAGAGACTGCCCCGCCGTCAGAGGCCCCTTCTGGAATGTCGAACGTCAACCACTTGCTCGCTGCATGACCTTACACCTAAGAGCATAACGCTGTCACATGGATTGTTCTGTATTCTGCATAACAGTAGTAAGAGGAGGTGTTGTCACAATCCTGAATCATGGAAGAGGAGACAGAGACACAGAACTTTGGTTTAACTTGCCCTGGACCGCAGCTAGCAGGTGATGAATTAGAAGTTCAAACCCAGAACGGCTTTTCAGACCCTGCATCTTGTTTAGTCTTTGTATGTATTAGCAACTGATAGGATAGTAAGTAAGATAATTAAGTGAGATAGGATTAGGATATTATTAAGATACCTACGTGGGGGGTAGATGACTCAACCCTGATGGTCATAGTGAGCACTCAGTACATGGAAAGTGTAGGCCTTTTTTTCTTATTTTTTCATCCTTTTCACCCAAGCCTGCCCAAATTCTATCAATGGCTTGAACCTATGTTTCATTTGAAATGCATAGCTTTTGGAGGGTACCCAAGTGGCTCAGTGGGTTAAGCCTGACTCTTGATCTCTGCAAAGTTCATGACATGTTTCTCATGGTTTGTAAATTTGAGCCCCATGTCGGCTCTGTGTCAACAGTGCAGAACCTGCTTGGGATTCTCTCTCCTCTCTCTGTCCCCTCCTCTGCTCATTATCACACACCTTTTTTTCTCTAAACAAACAAAAAAATAAAAGAGAAATGAACAGTTTTTATTGTTGTTAAGTTTATTTAGTTTTGAGAGAGAGAGAAACACGTGCACAGAAAGGGCATAGAGAGGGAGAGAATCCAAGAGCCCTCACTGTCAGCATGGAGCCCCGGTGCAGGGCTCAAACTCATGAACCGTGAGATCATAATCAGAGCCAAAGTCAGACATGTAATGGACTGAGAACCACCCAGGCGCCCTGCTGTGTTTAAATCAAAGACATTAAAAAAAATTTTTTAATGTATATTTTTGAGAGAGAGAGAGAGAGAGACTGTGAAAGCAGGAGGGCAGAGAGAGGAGACACAAAATCTCAAGCAGGCTTCAGGGTCTGAGGGGTCAGCAGACAGCCCGATGCGGGGCTCCGAACTCACCAACTGCGAGATCATGACCTGAGCTGAAGTCAGATGTTAGCTGACCGAGCCACCCAGGTTTCCCCCAAAGACTGACATTTTCTATGCTGGGAATAGCTCAACTTAGTTCTGTTTCTTTTTAAACGTCACTGGTTAGTTGCATGGACTTGTCTGAAAAGATGAGTGAGAAGGAAAGCCCCAGAGTATGAGCCAGACGGCCAACCCCTGTTCCCCTAGGCACCTGGGTCTGCGAGGCATGGGGCAACCTCCTACCACCAGGGCAGCACCACCCCTACCACTACCCGCTGTGTGGTTCTAAGCGGCAGGCAATGCGTGCAGAATTTACCGTCACCGAACACACACAAGCACAAAGACCAGGGCGCCAACTCGCATGTACCTTTCAGACTAAGCTTTTATTTTTGTACAAACCAGTTTTTTCTTTTATTCACAAACCACTGTAAGTGATATAAACACCAATTTCAAAGACAGATATACACATTTTCTGGGTTTGCAGATTGCGTGATGTGTGTTAAGAAGTCACTATATGCCACATGATATTAATCTTTTTTCCATAATTCATAATAGCAATAGTTATTTAGATAAATGAAAACATTCCAAATAAATACTGTTTAAAAAAATCCAAAATGTCTGTTTATCTCTGACATACATTTTAAAATGACTTATTGGCATCTTGGCAGAGTGCCTGGGCAGAAGGTTCTGTAACATCATTTGGCACTCACTGTTCTAAATGATTTCATTAAAACTACAGTCATGGGGAAAGTACAGCTCATTGATGGAAATCAAAACTGCAAAAATAATTTTACTTTAACCAACACAGTTAAGAATTCTATGTTTGTGATTCCAAATACAATGCAAATTCTTGGATTTTGACATCCGAGGCAGTCGGGAGAAAGCTTGCAGACTCCCGAGGCCCCTGCTGCCTCCACCTTTGTCCCCTCTGGGTGGGATGCTGAAGCATTTTAATAAGCAGTTTTAACCCCATCCACCAGGCACCACTGTCCTAGCACTGCTCTCCAGGTGGGGGAATAAGAATGTCTCTGCGATGCTATAAAACACCCCGTGGCCCCTCCCTGCCCCCCCCCCCCCAATCAGGCTGCCGCAAAGAAGGCATGTTACATATTTTATGCTGCTGGCTGCTTAAGCGGTTCCCCCCCTCCCCTTCTCTCTTTTTTCAGACAACGAGACTCTGTCTTAGATATCGAAGCTTCACAGAAACTTTGTTTTCAAATCTTGTGAAACTTTATTGATGGTTTAATATTCAACCAATCTTACTGCATCATGCACGTAGGATGACCGAGAGGAAGCTGGATCACAAACACTTTTTTTTTTTTTTTACTTTTTTCTTTTTTTCTTTTTTTTTTTTTTTAAGGTTTTGTTTGGTGTTGTTTGAAAGCAGAGTTGTTACAGCCGGGTTGGCAGGTTCTAGCCGGTGAGTTGATAACTTACTGAAGTGCGCAGCCTGCACTGTGGGTCAGGCACTGAACACGCGTGAAGGTTGAACTATGGCGTCAACTACCAGACGGCTTACCCGGCTGGTTTTGTCATTGGTTTTTTTATTTTATTTAAATACAAAAAACAGGAAGACCCGCGACAGATACCTAACTTAGGTTAACTTTGTAAACAGGACAACATGGAAAGAGTTCAAACAGAAGTACAGACAAACTGCAATTTTCGGCTGTGTCACTCTGGCCCTGCTTCACAGGCTGGGGACTTTGTTCTTCCGGGATGGAGGGCGGGCCTATTGTTTGTTTTGTTTTGTTTTTTTTTTTGCTTCCTTCGACAAGTGTCCTGGGCCTTGGAGACGAACTAAAGATCCTGGTTTGAGATAATCGTTGGGGACCAGGAAGAGTAGGAGGGCAGGATCTCACGGACTGAAATTGCAGGTTGCTCACACAACACGGTCATGTTTCAAAAAGTACCAAGCTGATGAAAATACCATGATTATCTCTACTCAATGATTGCAATACTTGTAAATGCTTCTATAAATCGAATATGATTATCATGTAATTCCATAAAATTATACATCTGTCTCTTAACAGTTGTTTACCAGGCTAAAACTAAAGCTTCATAGACTGTTTCTAGAACTTAACAACTCCACTGCACAGATGTAAATTTTATACATTTTTTTTTTTTTTAACTGGTACAAAGGATTTAAGTTTTATTACTTTTCTTTTTTTTTTGGAAAAAAGAAAAAATAGAAACAGTGCTTTTATCACCTTTTGATATTAATGTTATTTTTCCCTCCCATAATATAAAAGTCAGCAATGATATCAATAATTATTATACTGAAATATAAAAGAATGCTTGTTGATGGCCTAATCCAGCAGTTTTGCCTAAATAACTAGCGGCTGGTTAAGAAGCTGGTTGACTGAATACTGCCGGGTGGAATGGTTTAAAGGGATGGGTTTGTACAGCTTCATTCAACTTGGATGCAAAGTGCTTAGAAGCACCCCCCTTAATAACAGAACCTTTGGCTTGAACTCAATGAGCAACTTAGAACCGCTGATATATGATTGTTGGTGCAGTGGGTCATTTAGATTGATCAGTTACTATATATTTTTTTCCTTTTAGCCCAAATCCCAGTCCTGATCCCCTAAGACCCTCCCACCCTTCCCCGTTCATAAAATAAAATAATGCAGATGCAGTAAAAAAAAAAAAAAAAAAAAAAATGACTACTGTAGTCACTTACACTCTTCCCAAACAGCTGATAACCCCAGTAGCTTGATATTCAGCATATATAATTCATTTACATGATATAGCACTCTGGATATGGCCCTAATCCAGTTTTAATTCATAGCTAGCATCTCTCTATTTCAACCACAGAAAAACTCCTACAGCCAGCAACCAACTACGGAACCTTCAGAAATTAAAGACCCACAATATTAAAATACACAGAACAAAATATCTGAGGTATAAGATAAAAAATGTAATTTTTTCCCTCTTTTTTTTT